AATTTCGGTCATCCCATATTTGAAATATATCATATTTTATTTTTGACATCAATAATTATCATATAATTAAAATGATGAAAAATAAAATAATATATATATACACACATTCGGCGCTACATATATATATATATATATAATAAAATTTGTTTTGTCAAAATATAATTATCATATAATTAAAATGACACAAACAAAATATAATTTTAAAATACATATGTATTTTCGAAATACATATATATGTTTAAAATTATCACAACTATATATTTAATATTACTCCCACTAGTGTAGTATACTACTCCCTTACAAGTCCTAAGTGTGTGACCCTTTAGGTATCCATAACACTGGCAATGATAAAATTAATACCATAGATAATAAGCAGTATCTAGCAACACATTATTATCCCCAGATTATGAAAAAGACGTTCATCTCATCAATACCTTCTACGACACAAGACATTCTATAACTATTATCCTTTTGTCCTAAATGTCATGATTTAACACAAGGCATGGGATGTGTATCCTTGTATAGTTAAATCAACTGTTACTGAATCTCAAGTAGACTGGCAGGGATCAGATATTTATCAGTCTCTAGATAGCGACATATCTGGGCATGGCCATGCACTTTCCCAAGTCCTACTATTCAGTGGGCCCATTGACATTATACTTCTATACAGTAGAAGGGACAGATCCTGTATCTGTTATTCATATCTCTAAATATGCTTAGCGGCGTACCCAACGCATAACTGTACGTCTACCAGTATTTCAGATAGCATTAGTTATGAATCAAAGCATACGGCCCCACATATCAGAGAATGTAATAACTTCAAGTCTGAGGATAGTTATAGCAAGGTCGATTTGAGAATACTGATAAACACATTACTGTAGATCCATGCAGTATTCTCAAGATGGGTCAATCGAGTCGCATATTATCGATATAATATACACCTACGTACAGATTAAGATATCACAATACCTATAGTCTATGAGACGCAACTATCTCATCTTGTACGTACTAGTCTTGATACGTTATGACGTCCGTATTATCATAAAGTGTGACTAGGGATATTCTAGACATAGCCTTCGTCAAGAAGTAACAGTCTCATAATCAGAACATCGTAGTCCTCATCTATGTTACTGAAGCGCTATCGTCTATGGACTGTAGCTATGTTATGTTACACGAGATATAAAACATACTTCAAGGCCTTTCATTCATGATAAAGTGTACAGTTACATAGGTATTTGATTGCCTCTAGGGCACCTAAATACAACAATCTCCCACTTGCCATAAGGCCAATCAAGCATTTCTCGAATGCCCATGGACCACGTATGACTCTCGTGTTTAGGCTTTCCCAAAGCCTTCGTCAACGGATACGCGATATTGTCGTCTGTACCTATCTTGCAAATCTCAACGTCCCCACGTGCAACGATTTCTCGTATGATGTGATAACGTCTAACGATGTGTTTGGTCTTCTGGTGAGACCGAGGTTCTTTCGCTTGTGCAATTGCCCCATTGTTGTCGCAAAACAACGGTATAGGGTTCTTGATGCTAGGAACCACTCCAAGCTCAGTAATAAAATTCTTGAGCCACACACCTTCCTTGGCTGCCTCGGCTGCAGCCATGTACTCTGCTTCTGTAGTGGAATCAGCGGTAGTATCTTGCTTGTAACTCTTCCAGGTAACAGCTCCGCCATTCAAACAAAACACATACCCTGCCTGCGACTTGAAGTCATCTCTATCAGTTTGGAAGCTGGCATCAGTATATCCAACAATACTGAGCTCTTCTTTTCCGCCATATACCAGGAAGGCATCCTTAGTCCTACG